TGCTTTTAGCAGACCACAGCGTGCAGCAAAATGCTGAAAATTGTGGTGTTCTCTTATTCGTCACTTACTGGATTTCTTTCGGACCGTATTTTGCAACAACATCTAGAATTGAATTATTATAATGTAGCCACATAAGCGGAGGCCCCACCCTTCTAATTGGTATTTTAAGTATAAGAAGTGATCGTTCGTCCCACATCTTCACGCAGTAGCGGAACAGAGCTAGATATTTTGTGGTCCAGATGGCCAGCACGACATTGGCCCTTAGTAAACCCTCATCAGGGCATCTCTCTTGAGGCGGACCGGAGTTGATCTCATCGAGCCTCAGCACATTGCCAGGGGAGCGATTGATTTGGAGCAGATCACTTACTGGTCGTTCGCGTTTTCAAAGGTGGAACGTTTCTTCCATTTGTGCATTGTAGTCGAATGGATAAGACTAGTGCGTTTCAAGCGGCAGAGTTGTGGTTCGAGTGCGGCTAGCTTCACCATTTTTGCTACTTGGCCTGGCGACCTTTGATAGCGGCCTTTATCAAAAAATCGATGATAGCAAAAAAAACGTGCATCATCTGTAAGAAAAATGCAAAAACATTTTTCTCGATGTCGTGCAATCAGCTGTTCATCAATCCTCACTCACATAGGCGCCCGAAATAGTGCAGTTTTGTGAGTTTTGCACCGCAAAAGAACGTCAGCTGCAATGTTTCGTAAGTTACTCGGGAGCAACTTACAGATTTTCTCTGTGCTTTTCTCCTTAGCACAGTATTTACCTTATGTCGTCGCCCGGCTCATCTCCGATGACTCGGTCGGGAGCTGATCTCGCCGCCGGGTTTCATCTGAAGCTCACCTGCAGGATGGCCTTGCATACCTACACCACGGAAAAGTGGGCAGTCCTCATCTCATCCGACAAAGCCTCATATGAGGGCCTCAGGGGAGATTATCTCCCGTGACCGAGCTTTACTACGGGCCATTATGTTCATGAGACGTCTCCACGCAGTTGAGCCTCCAAGGGATGTGCATAAAGAAGGAAAAGAATAATGTTATATTGATGAAACAAATTTGCGTGTTGATAGTTTTTACTTTGGAGACAGAAACAACTTTTTTGCACCTTCATGATCACGTATTTCTTTTTGTATTCCTTGAGCGCGTCTTCACTTCACCAGCTTCTTAGGCGCGTCTTCACTTCACCAGCTTCTTAGGCGCGTCTTCACTTCACCAATCTCTTAGGCGCGATCGCATGCGTATGACTCATACATGTATTTTCCCTTCGCTGTTTTTTTATCGTGTCTCATCACGACGAACTGAATCTTTCTCTCTTCCTTAGCTAGAAGGGTATTTCATCATATTGCCAACGTTGCTGGTTTAGCAAACCCACTCAAATCCCTGCCAAGAAGGCAGTCCTCCCTCACAGATAAGGTATGAAAGTGTTTTCTCACTCGTGCGCTATCTGACGATGTTGAGCTAAATTTACGATGCTGCGCAACTTGATGCGATATTCTGGACACACAACTTTCTCTTAATCATTTTTGAGTGCTCGGTATGATCCCATCAGTGTGAGTCCGGAAGGATATTGCAGTATAAATCAAAGTGACGGTAACTGAGTTTAGCATTTGAGCTGCACTGCGCGAGAGAGATCTTTTTTGACATTCGGCGAAGAAGGTCCTTACTCAAAAATTTGTCTGAAAGCAAGTCTAAAAAATCAAAACGTGACCTATACCTGACTTCTAATCATATATTTGAATTAATAGATAAAAAATTCATGCTCTTGATCCTCTTACCTTTTTATACCTATTCGGCCCCAGGCCATCTTACAAAAATTGTTTTCTGCACTCGCTGTGTTGCATTTCAGATCGGTTGCATGCACTGCTCTGCATTGCCAGTTTGATTTCTCGAGCATCCCCCTCGGTAGATTGAGTCTTCTTCGCATATTTCGTATAGATTTTTAGCAGGAAGGGTCCTTTTCCACGAACGAAACATGGTCCGAGTCCGCATTCCAAAGAATAAAAGTGAGTTATAGCAAACCATGTAAGCCTTTACGCCAATACGCTAACAGCATTGATTACCAGTATAAGAGAGAAACCAGGCTACAAATACAAACTTAGTAAATAAACGAACAAAGGGAACATACACAAGTAGTTCACACAGTAAAGTAAAGCGCGCTGCCATTGTTAGAGCCAAAATTTCAGATTACTGAAAACCTTGAATACAGATACATCCATGACACACATAGACTGTTGCTGTATTCAAATTGTCAATGTGCGTAATGAGACTCCTACACTGTAAATGTCTGCTCGCACGCAAATCTAACAGCTTCAACAGAAGAATCTCTTTTTGTCCAAGGTTATCAAGTCAAAGGCTCAAATTCCTCCTTTTCACACGACTTTATAGAGCTGTGCTGTCGATATTTGTTTAGAAGATATGAGAACAGTCGAACAACAGTTAGGGTTCCTTCATACTACGCCGCAGGACGCAGCCTGTGCGGCGTGCGCTGCAGGATTCGCTCTGAAAATATACGTTCACTGCAACGCCTTTTCGCTGGTTATGTATGTATCTCTATATCTCCTGCACCTTCAGTTCATACATACATAACCAGCGAAAAGGCGTTGCAGTGAACGTATATTTTCAGAGCGATTCCTGCGGCGCACGCCGCGCATGCTGCGTCCTGCGGCGTAGTATGAAGGAACTCTTAGGGTTCCTTCATACTACGCTGCAGGACGTGGCGTGCACCGCGTAGTATGAAGAAACCCTAAGAGTTCCTTCATACTACGCTGCAGGACGTGGCGTGCGCCGCGTACGCCACGTACGCCGCGTACGTCACGACACTATTGAGGGACACGAATGTGCAGCAAATATAGAGATACATTTAAAAAAGTGGAGCTTTGCTGCCATGAGCATAATTCCATTGCGCTGCAGCGGCGTACGCGGCGTAGTATGAAGGAACCCTTAGAGCAAAGTGCGGCAACGCGAACGACGCATGCGACGTCGCAACTTATATTTGCTTTGATTTCAAAAAAAAAACGGTAGTTTTAATAGTACCTGTGTAGCGTGTGCAACATAGATACTTTTAAATACTATTAAAAACTGTTTTTGTTTCTATTTTTGAATAAAACACAAAAGTTCTTGTTGAGCGAAATTCAAACACTTCGAATTCTCTCGGAATTTTGGGTATGGAGCTTATGTGACATGTTGATAACAGATGAAGCACGCTGTTTACGAAATAAGGTTCCTTCTTGCTGAAGGCTGAAAGTACACTCTTTCTTGCCGCGCGAGAGTTCGCGGTCCAAAACGTGTCAAGAACTTCCACTCTCATTAAACCTAAAAAATTCATTTAATGAGGCATTGCTAAGAACACACCGTGCCCATTCGTCAATGAAAATACAAAGTTGCATTTTCATTCCTAAACAGAGACAAAGTCCCAGTACTACGTCAAAGCAAATTGTATGGGTAAAGCGCACCTCATCATATGATTGTTCGAGATAAGCGCACGGCAACGGTATCCGGTAACCGGTTTCCACTTGCTCGAAAAACTGTGATTATGCACGCATAAAGATTTTGCTAGAAGTAGATTAACTTCTAGCAATAAAAACAGGACACTGTGACCATGACAGCCTACAAAACATTTGAAAGCGTACATGGAGTGGCGAGTATAAAGCCATTAACCATAATACTGAAGGAGTGCAAATAGAAGGTTTAGACTGGTCCGCTTGTTAATACAACTGGAAAAAAACGAGGAATAGGATACTCTAGGTGCTCTACAAGAATCACGCTTCATACTCGCTCAAAGGCATCGTCCACCTGAAACCTTGACTTTGAGTTTTTGTCTTTTCTTAGCTTGCGCACGCTGGGTCCGAATCCAGGCCTACAATTGAACGAAAGAATCAAATTATTAAGTTTTGGATGCCCTTCAGAATCCGCAGTAGACGAGCACTCCTTGTGCCTGCTGCAGCCGCGGACCAGCTGCGGGCCCATTGCAGAGCAGAAACGCTGAGGAACGCCGTGTCCAATCGATTTCTTGATCTTTGCGCATGCTAGGCGAAATCACTGAGTGGGCGGGAACACGTACCAACCACTGAATAGGGAGGAGACAACGTAGGGAATACGTCAGGGTTCGGCACGAATCCGTTTCTAGGATTTTTGAAAATGAAGTCCCCCCTACTTACAAAAATTTTACGAAGTCCCCTTTGACCCTTCCCCTACCTCCCCCCCACCCTCCAACTGTGAATGGATCAATTTTCCGGGTCAAGTCCAAGAAGCAAACAAAAGTATAGGGTATTTGAAAAATCGTGACGATGACGCGACGCGACCGCGCGCGACACGCACGCCACTTATGGAAATAGCATTCTCTTGGTTTTCATTTCTAGTCTAATTGTATTTTGCTCAAGTATGGTAACGTTCAGATGACTGGAAGTGACGGAGCCGAACGTTGAGGTGGTGCCTTCTTGTATGAGCGTTTATGCTTCTGTGGGCGGAAAGTCCGCACTAAAATCCGTCGTCACGATTTTATAAATGAACTATATCTCACGCGAACAACTTTATTAATTCAAATTCATAATTCAGTTCTGAAAGTACTCCAAGAAAGATTGCTTCGAAGAAAAAAACATCATTAGAGATTAGAAGATTAAGGAGATCATCAGAGATCAAGAGGAAAAATCAGCAGAGGTGTAAATTACGCGTAAGGAGGTTGATGTTTGTATAAATGAGGGGGCAGAAATGTCCAGGGGTTGCCTATGTGACCTCAGGCGGGGGGGGGGGGAAGGTGTGCAGATGCACAACCCTCTGAGGTCAACATAGGATACGCCGCGGGCACTGGGACCGGGATCCCAACGCCCGCGGTACCAGCCACCACCGAGGGCGGTGATGGCTGGTGGCTGCTGGTCACAAGCGGCTCACGCGATGGCTCACACGATGCCTCCTGCGCTGGGTGTGTTGGCTACGCTGGCTGTACAAATCCAAATCTATTGGAGAGCTGAAATGTAAGTGAAAAATAATTAAAAATTTATATTCGTGTACTAACCAGAAAGAGAATAAGGTATAGTGCGGGTGATATCGCGCTCATCAGGTACCCAAGCGGATCTTTCACAGTAGGTGCCAAGCCAGAACGATATCCGAGATAAGATATCCGTCAGCAGTTTTATCTTCTTGTACGCAATATGTGCAGGAAGTTCTTTCAGTCGTATCGCGATAGTCTGACCTAAATAAAGCTTTTAGTAATGGTAAACAAAGATGGTTATTACCAACCAAAGGATTCAAACGAGTCCAGCTTGCCAGACGCTTGGCTGAGGTTTTCCGTGCGCGCTGGAAAAGCAATTCTATACAGGGTGTCCCAAAAAATGTCTCAAAAAGGCAACCTAAATAAATACCAACTATTTGATGCCGAATCCGACGGTCTAGTGGCAGATGTTTGCGGATTCCCATTCTCACTACCTGGAAAAGCAATTTTATACAGGGTGTCCCAAAAATGTACCTCCTGTTTGACTGTAAATGATTGATAATAATGAATGTAATGAAGTGTCTCGAGAAGTTTTAGGTACCATTTTGTGGAGCAGGTAGTGAGAATGGGAACCTTCTCAAGTTAATAGTTTTGGCTGGCTAAATTTTTAGGAAATGACTTACCATGTTTATGAGTAGGTCTTCGTCATTCAATCAATCATTCAATCCGTCCTCCAAAGGAATTTCGAAGCGATTTTCTGCTTTGGAAACAACTTCAGACAACGCGAATAGGGCAATTATATCTCTGAGGCGCCGCTACTGTTAGACATCAATATCTCCTAGATCCCATTTTGGGTGGACGGTACCTTCAAGGGCGTAGAAAGAAAGATGTCTCAGATGCAAACCATTTTCCAACTACAATTCCGAATAATACAGCGCACTACTGAATAGAGTTCCGCAGATATGAGTGCGATTTCTTTTTAGAAGTCTTTCGTCACTCTTGATTACGACACACTCGAAAAGGCTGTCGCTGTAGCGTTACAGCTCCTGCACGTCTGATATTTAGAATCACCTAAACTATCAAGTTGCCTTACAAACAACTCAATCCAAAAAAGGCGACCTAGGTTGATCCGCCCACATGTATGCCTTAACGTTTGTTCTGAATATACGCCAGTCGCATAACGGTGACTTATCGTTAAGAGAGGCAATGCAATCCTGAGCGCAGAAGAGGACGCAGACGTCGTCGACGACGAGATAGTATCAGACACGCAGGGTACGCTCCGCTGCTGCAATAGCTGTGTTGAAGTACGCATGCGTGTGCCAAGTGTGTTGAAATGTGCGAGATGGCGATCGTTACGAAAGTTAGGTATAAACGTTTCTTGATCCCGCACATCCCTTCTCTGACTTCATCATGTTCTCATTCGCTTTTCAAGCTCTTACCGTTTCCCGAAAACCTCGCTTTTGGGAGCAACTGCGCTGCTTGAATTTGATTTTATCTCCAAATTATGAGCGTAAGTGCGAGAATGACATTGTGAAAGGAAACTGTACAGCAATCCTCAGCAAAACACTATTTTGGGACGATATGATCCACTTTTTGATCAAATGAGAAAATCTCCGAAAATCTTGCTTTTGGGAACAATTGCGCTGCTTGAATTGATTTTTTTCTCTCCAAAATACGAGTATGTGCGAGAATGACTTTGTAAAAGGAAACTGTATATCGATTTTATTGATTGCTGGTAAAATTCGACCTGCGGGGCTGGGAGTTAGCACAGGAGGGTAATTGAGCACGCTGATTACGAATGCAATTTTAGTTTTTGAAATTATATGTCACTTTTATCGATTTTATCGATTTTTTGCAAAGTTTGAGCCACAGGGCTGTGAGCATAAGTACGATAGGGGGAGCTGGGCCCTCCCCAGGTGAAGGGGGCCTCGGCTGTTTCCGACCTTCCAGATGAAGGGGGTATGTGAGCCTGGGGGGGGGGGGGGGGGAGGGAGAGAGAAAACGTAAAAAAGCGTGGTATGAAGAGCTCTAATTTGCACCTTATTTAGGTCATGCTTGCGATGGGGCAGAATAGGGAGGACGCGTTACAAATTTATCTAAACAAACTTTGTCATGTGTTAACAATATGTTGCGTCAATATTATGATTTTATGAAGATCTGTGCTCCTGTTTCATTGCATTAGCAAAAAACGAAAGCAATAGGGTTTGTCCGAAAAGATATACAAGTTAGGAACATCTTACAATTCCTGCACATCATCATCAATAATATCACTATCGCTAACGTCAGAGACAATTGCGCTGCTTGAATTGATTTTTTTCTCTTCAAAATACGAGTATGTGCGAGAATGACTTTGTGAAAGGAAACTGTATATCGATTTTATTGATTGCTGGTAAAATTCGACCTGCGGGGCTGAGAGTTAGCACAGGAGGGTAATTGAGCACGCTGATTACGAATGCAACAACATGTTCGCTGCCATAGAGATCTTTTTCTTCCTCCAAAAAGTCATCGGAGTAGAAGTATTATAGAATTGCGTGAAAAAGCGCTCTGAGTCGAAAATGGATTTGAAACATTCTTCTTCTTCTTCTAAGCGCTTTTGTGATTTTTTTCCTGGCCCTCTGATAGCACCGAAAGTCAGCAGGTAGGTAACCAGTTTTTTCGTACCATCTTTTAGGATATTTCAAAAATTCATACGGTGACAGCCTGTTCTGGACCACTTATGGCAATCCTTTAAATGAAGTTTTTAGATGACAATATGTTTAGTAGAAGGTTGACAAACCTTAAGTAATTGCTTAGATGCTCCACCGTTGTGCGACTTCTGCGTTGTGTTCTGATAACAGAGTAGATAGAAAATCCTCTCTTCCACCTCTGCCGTGCTAGTCGGAATGGAAACTATTAGGTTGGTAAGAAAGTTTTCGGACATTTTCACGCGAAAAATGGTATTTCTCGGGTTCTAATGCATTTACGAACGCGAAAATTTGTAGTTGCACTCTCACATATACGCGGCTTATACCTGTGCAGGTGGGAGAAGCTTAGGATCAATAAGGGCGCAGTTTGCCACTTTTCGATTATCTCATTTTCCTGCTAATTAAGCTCAAATTCCATACAGACCTTGCATAAATGCATTTGAGTTCTTATCTACTATATATTGGAATATTTGTGAGTGTTACAGTGTTAACGGAAGGTGGAGTTCTAAGCTCTGTCGAATTCCTATGTCTTCGAATTTTCGCCTCTATTTTCACAGGATTCATTAGTTATGGTTGTAATTAGTATGGTCTTGTAGTGTTTGCTTTCCTCTATCCAATGATGTACAGCATGCCCTAATTGGTGCTTGCATCGAAGCATTATCTTTGTATAAAGGCAATGTCCGAGAACTTTCTTACCAACCTGATAGCTTTGCTAGTAAGTCCATCAGATTTTTTGCGGTAAGTAATGGGGAAAGAGCCAGATCGCTTATGCTTTCGCAACACGGGAAGGAAATATTGCATACTTTTTTGGCTTGTCGAACTCTGGCTTCACCTCCTTTGGCATACGTCTTGTTAGCTGATGAGAAAGCTGCTCAGCTTCTTCTTTAACTGCATCGCGGAATAGCCGAAAAAAGTAGATACTATGCTGCCCGTTGGTTTTTTCAATATCATAGGTCAAAATGTCACAAGGCGAAAAACTTCCAGAAGCATAAAGCACAGAGTTGGGTTAGTACTCCAGTCGGGATCTAAGTGCATAGCTATGCTTTGTACTAACACCTTCCTTTTGTTCATACCATGTTCGTAAATTTAGCAGCCTTGAAATCTTCAGCAACCTGAAGTTCAGCAATGAACTTCCTGGACATTTCCTCATTGAAACTAAGCAATCTGCTTGGATTCCTTATGTAGGAAATCAGAGAGTTTTGCTCAATTGTTAACCCTGTATCAGTGTCGAGAACATTTTCGGCATAAGATTCGCCTTCTGCCTCGCTCTTGAACTGAAACACATGCGAGTCATCTGCGATTTTGTAAAGTATTCTGTCTGCCGTTTCTTCTTCAAACTGCCAACCTTTCCAAAACACTGAAGGATATTTTAATAACATGTTGTCCTTCTAAATGCCTTAAAGTTTTTGATTTATTGAAACCAACCATTCTCTACCATTAGGTGAGTCTAGAGCGTTTTCACGAAAGTGACCTTCTTCAGCACTAGGTTTACAGAGTATAGATTCCAGAAATGGACGGGTTTTTGTGTGAAGGTGTGGAAATTCACCAACCCCCCATAGATTTTGAGTGTGTGCTGATAATGATGGCATAACTGTCAATCAAAAGCGCATTGTTTACTAAAAAAACAAACATATAACAACGATAAGCACGCTTAAATATACGCGTTCGCTCGCGTTCCCGTTAGTGCTGATAACGATGTCAATCCACAGCACATTTCTACTATTAGCTTGCTCCACCCAGCTCCACCAATGTATTGGCTTTTATGGGTATGGTCACCGGAGCAAGTGCTTTTTAGAGCCGGGAAGCAAAGAAGCCCTAACATACTGTATACCATTCGAAAGCTGAGATCACGGAAAATCGACGTGGACCGTCGCTTTTTTCCAGGTCTTCTGTGTCGCGAGATATGAGGGATTTTACAAACTTCAAAAATCAACTGATTTTGTGTCCTTACTTTCTGCTCTCCAAATGAATGCTATGAGAAAGTCGACAGTCTACGTTTGTTAACGAAGACTTATTCTTTAACAGAGATAGATAATCAGCAGTGATTAAGTCTTCGTTTGGCAGAAATCTGCTGTTGAAAATGGACATGTTTTTAGATAAAATGCGGTGTATCTCTCGGTAGAGGGGGGCTAGAAAGAAGTCGACGGTCTAGATCGAATCCCCTTTTCCTGAGTCGAATGGTATATAGGTTGCTGGGCGAAAAAAGTTAACAGTTTTCAAAAATGGAGTGGAGATATTTACTATTAGCTTGCTCCACCCAGCTCCACCAATGTATTGGCTTTTATCGGTCACCGGAGCAAGTGCTTTTTAGAGTCGGAAAGCAAAGAAGCCTCAACATGCTGTATACCATTCGAAAGCTGAGATCATGGAAAATCGACGTAGACCGTCGACTTTTTTCTAGGTCTTCTGTGTCGCGAGATATGAAGGATTTTATAAACTTCAAAAATCAACTGATTTTGTGTCCTCACTTACCGTCGCAATATACCCAAAAGAGTTGTAGCTTTGAACGAAGAAGTGTTGATTATATTACTAAGATAAGATTGATTGATTTTCATGGAACTGTAACGCTCCGGGACGTATTTATGAATGCTCGGAAAGTTTGTGCTTCTGTAAATGCTTTTTTTATAAATAAATAATATGAATAAACATAAATACCGTTTCTTTTGTAAATTTATGAGTGTAATTGTTATTTGAGGTACTTAGTCTGCAAAACCTTTTAATAACGATTTTTATTTTATATTCTCAGAGTAGAATACCAATCTCAGCCCAGGTGAAGGGGGTCATCCGGAGTTTGGCCTCAA